TCTGAGTTCAAGTTCAAGATTATTGTCATTATATTCATATATGGGTATGTGGTATAACGAAATATTATTTAGCTAGCTCTCAGATGATAAATAGAACAAAAAAAATAACAACACAATTGTAAAATAAAAAAGACAGAGACAACAGGCAGTGTGCAAAACAACATCAGATGTGCAAAAACATGCATCAACAGAATGAAATAAAAGGATAGAAGATTATGGGGAGTGACATGTGAGGTAGAGGTACAGTAGATTTCAATGTGTGTTTGAGTTTTTGGTAAGAAAGAAGGCACTGTGAGGTTCAGATCATAGGTGAGAGGTGAGGTGAGAGAGGCTGGGAGTTTAATAGTTTGATAGTGCAGGGGTAAAAACTGTCTCTGAGTCTGGTAGTCCGGGCCCGAATGCTCCGGTACCATTTTCCAGATGGTAGAGGGTCAAACAGTCTGTAGCTGGGGTGTGTGGGGTCTTTGATTATGCTTAGAGCTTTCCTCAAGCACCATCTGTCATAAATGTCCTGTAAAGATGGGAGGGCAACCTGTCAAAAATGTCATAAATGTCCTGTATAGATGGACTGGGTAGTTTTCACCACCCGCTGTAGGGCTTTGCAGTCAGCAGTACTGCAGTTGCCATACCACACTGTGATGCAGTCTGTCAGTGTGCTTTCTGTAGTGCATCTGTAAACGTTAGTGAGGATCTGGGGACATATCTTAGCCTTCTTCAACCGTCTTGGGAAGTACAGGTGCTGTTGCGCTTTCCTGATCAGACAGGTGGCGTTGAGAGACCATGTGAGGTCCTCGGTGATATGGACGCCAAGGAATTTGAAGTTACTGACCCTTTCCACTTCAGTCCCGTTGATGTGAAGAGGGCCATGTCCGTTTTGCAGTTTCCTGAAATCAACGATCAGCTCCTTGGTTTTGCTGATGTTGAGGGTGAGGTTGTTGTCTTCACACCACATTGTAAGGAGACTGACCTCCCTGTAGGCTAGTATATTTATTAAAAAAGATGGTCATAAACCAATTTAAGCAATTCTGACTCTACTTTCTAACTGACCACTCTCAGAAAACAGACCTTACGAACGGGCCTTTTCATTAAAATTTACCTACGAATTCTGTTCAGTCAGTACAAAAGGATTATCTTTGTTTTGTTTAGCCATGGACCGTCGTCCATAGTGCAGATCATCATCATTTTGAATTAAAATCCAAACTTGATGTACTTTATTTGTTTTCCTATTTGACTGCCAAAGGTGAGAAACATGGTATCATATATGTTTGAATGTTCTCAGTTTAGACCAAGGTTCTCTGAATCATTTTGAAATATTTAAAATATTCTAGGAGGACCCAAACTATTCATAGGGTACTTCAGCTACAGGACGACTTATAACCACACTATTTCCATAGAAGAATTATTCATTATTTAGAATTGCCGCCTAACAACTCTGATTTACAACAAAGCTCTGTGGAGTCCCAGAGGGGTGAGGCAGCAACACACCTCATTCCAGAATAATGTTCTCCCCGGTGCTCTGATGTCCTATTTCTTGGGCCTGCCAGTTTTTAAAATGCTATTACGGCCCCCCACCCTGAGTTGTGTCACAATAAGTATTCGTACTGCTATGTCTAATTGAAAAAAAATGTCACTCTCTAGTTTCATAAATACCAGCTTGGGTGCAGCTACTTTTCTTACTTTGCAGGTGATAGACACTTTATTGTCCACTGCTGTGGAAATTGGTCTTTGGCTTCTCCCACAGAAGTACAAAACACACACACACACACATACACACACACACACAGACACACACACACACATAAGAGTCACAAAATCACAAGAAATCACAACAACAGTATCTGATACAAAAATAGGTGAATAAATAAATGGGTAGAGGAGGGAGTTTACAGACCTTCATTGAGTAGTTTTATTGCAGAGGTGGACAAAGGACTTCTTATAAATGTTTTTATTGGACCTTGGTACCCTATACCGTCTTCCTTATGGGAGTATTTTAAATTGAGAATGGAGTGGGTGTGTGGAGTCATTGTGAAACAGAAAGTAACTACTGTAAATGTTTCCAAAAGGAAACATCCATCCATTTTAATCCACTTTTTCCAATTCAGGGTTGCAAGACGCTATCCCTGCAAGCAACGGACACAAGACGGGATACATGGAATTGGAATGGGACGCTAGTCCATCACAGGGCAGACTGACACAAACAAGCACGCACATGCATACTCACACCAGGGCCAGTTTTCCCAGAAGCCATTTACCCTACCACTATGTTTTTGGACTGTGGTAGGATGCCCACAGAAACAGATGGAGAACATGTGAACTCCACCCAGACAGCATCCCAGGTCCCCAGCGCTGCGAGGCAGCAATGCTAACCACCCTGCCTGAAGGAGACACTGATTGGGAAATTGATGAAAGGCCAGCTGTCAAAACAAAAACGTGCATTTAAAGAATTTAAATAATTACCACATTGTAATCCCCTCCCCATCCCCTCAACTGTTTTTATCTGCCTTGGTTGGTAGTAATTCAGGGTGCAGTTCTTCTGCATGTCTCCCCATCCGAGATGATTTTCTAAGAATTCTTCTGAAACAAAAGGCGTAAAACTAATTTATTCACATTGTATATGGAACAAGGCCAGGGAATACTAGTTCTACAGCAGGAAATATTCCTTTCTTAAACATTCTGAACTGGTGAACCATCTACTTAACTGGTTTTTCTAGCCCAAAACCACAATCTAAATTCAGGCAGGAAAAGCATTCCACCAGAATGGCACATCAGAAGTATTTTGGCAGGTCCACACAAGCCGTGGTATCATCACTTGACGTATGTCATGTTGACGAGTTTTTAAACTCTCTTGTTTATCCAGCATTGCTGGATATAATATGTATATACATTTTTATCAGTTTTGTTTTCTGCACTGCACTGTTGTTTTAGAATTCTAATTGGGCATTTGTCACCCTCATCTATAGAAGATATATATAAAGTGGTTTAACCTTCTTTTTGTATCGGTATTGAACTGGACTGAATTGGAATGAGGCTGTGTGACTCTACACATACCTGCTACTTCCAGATCCTCATATGAGAACCCTGTAACAGTCAGCTCCAACTCATAGCCATGAGGCAGACAAAAGCTTTATAAGTATTCATTATAGTCTGTTAGGGGTCATCTGTTTCATCTTTGCAAGAAATGCAGTAATCAGAAGAGGAAAAGGAGTGCTTTCGAAGTTATGTTTTAGATACTTTATTGATCCAGTGAGGGAAATTGCAGTGCAACAGCAGCTTAACACAGACAACACAGCCACAGTGTAACGAATGATACAATAATAATAATAATAATAATAATAATAATAATAATAATAATAATAATAATAATAATAATAATAATAATAATAGTACAAT